ATTAGGTTTTACAGTGTATAAGGATGCAAGACAGTCTCATGGCTAAGAGGAAAACAATCTGACAGCAGAGTGTATCCCTGCCAATGTTATTCATGAAAGATTGCAATAAGCTGTAATTTTACCTGTGTCATCTCTGTCTCACAGAGTTTTGTAGTTTTCCAGATGCCAAAAGTCATCTAACCTCAGTGCTGTTTCAGGTGAAGTATATTTAAAAGGAACATTTTTATAAACGAAGGCAACAACACTCTTAACTTTTAGTATAGGTTGATGTTGTAGTATCTAGGAGTTCTCTGTGTGCTCTGTTTTTGCAGGTCTGGAATGTTTAAATTAAGGGGCCCCCTGGTCCAAAGCCCCATAGGGAGTAGGCCTCTCACTTTCTCCCTTCTTCTCTTAGTTTCAAATAGATGAGATCATTTTAAAAAGAACCATATGTTCTGTCTTCTGTTTCAACAACAAGTCCAATATATAAGCTGTTTGCTATTCTGTTCTGGGGGGACACTTAGAATTGGCACGGATCATCTCTTAGGTACTTTATAGTGCTTGATATGATAGTGTTTTACTTTGTAATAAACATCTTATACTGGCAAGACAGTGTCAGCAGAGTTTTCCTTCATCATCTTCACATCATTGCTACTTGATAAACAACACAGGCTAGCATGCAACAAAATAAATTCATCTCCAGCCAAACCTCAGTCAGTCTTTGCCAATCTCACACCACATAAGCCTTGAAAGTTGCCAGCCTCCTGTAATAAAATAATGTAATATTACTCTACTCGACATGTTTTTTTTCTTTTCTGATCTTCTTTCCAGGTGTTGTGCCTACTTCCGACTCCTCAGCAGAATCAGGCTTCCTTTTGCATGCATGCATGTCGCACAAGCATATGGACGTTACAGAGTACACTCACTATTTCTGTTATTTACACCTAGAAACATAGAAATGGCGAGTGTAATCTGTAGCGTCTGTATGCCTGTGTGACGTGTGTGCACACAAGAGTGGAGTCGGGTTCTGTGTCCTTCAGCTGGTCAACAAATGCACATGTACATTAGGAGGGCTCAGAGTGGAATTTGTATTTACGACAGTGGTGTAGAAGTGAACTCCGCAACTGTAGGGGGAGACCAAGAGCAACAATACCAATGCTTGCAGAATGCTGCTTAAATTTTAAAACAGATCAGTTAAACAGCAACAACATCATGGAATTCTGTATATTTAACTTTAAATGTTAACTTCTTTTCTACTGTGATTTACTCAAATATACTGAGTACATGTTATTCCATCAAGTATCTTAGAAGCTGCTTTTTTGAGTGCACACATGTACAACTGATTAGAGTTGATTTATGTTTGATAGTAAACACATTTTAGCATTAGTTAGCATCAGTGAGCTCATGAGTTCAAATAAAAAATGGAACACCCTACAGCCTCTGGGTCCTCATAAGCACATGCAAGTGACGTAAATTACATTGTATTGACGTAACAAACTGAAGTAACAGACATTTGCTCTGTGTTTGACTCTGTTATGAAGCATCATTCTCAAGTAGTAGAAATGATGAGGCAGAGGCCTAGTTAACATCACCATTTATCAGTTCTATATCTCTACTTGAGTTAAAGTACAAAAGTACAGTGTCTTTTAAGGAGACTCGTGCAAAAATAAACAGCTAACTCTGTTTTTCTAACAGGTTTGCTGTCACATGGATCTCCTTAATGGCTTGTAAGCAGGCTGTGTGTGCATAGCAGCTAGCAGTAGCAATCCAAGACTCACAGTCATGACAGACAGGGGTCTAAAATCAAGCAGATACGCACTAGGCAAATTAATTTAGCAAAAACCAGTAAAGCAAAGGTCAGAGCACAAGAGCTGTAATGAATCATTCCAGATTGGGCAGGTCCAAAGAGTTTCCCTGGGGGTGAGACATTAGCTATGTTACAAAGAGCCTACTATGTACTGCGCTAGTACTGATTGTGCCCAAACGTAGTAAGTAGAATACAGTATGTGACCAACATGAATTTCTCCAGTACAACAAAGACATCGTATATAAAATATCAAACTGTTCAGGCCTAATTTTCCAGTACGAGTTATTTTCATGATATACTACATTCCAAAATACAACGCAGTCATTTCAGGAGGACATAACCGTTTTAATAATAGCCCTGGATTCAGCCTTTCCATACATTAACGATGGTGAAATGAAAGAACTTTTGCGAGACCCCTGGGCACCAACATCTTAGGAGGTTCCAAACTCTATCAATAAAACTGAATTAATTCCTTTATTAATTAATACCTCAAAAGTCATAACATGAGAACAAAATTAGCCTTATTAATTATTAATGTTCAATCTTTGTGTTCACATTGTTATAGTTTGTGCTTTTAGTGTAATATTTGTATATCTAAAGACAAATTTGAATCAAGATTTTTTTTAAGCAAAATTGAGTCATAATGCAGATATAGAAGTATTTCAACACACATTGAAGGATAAAACGTTCCATTTGAACGGCAGCAACAAAATAAATGATAATATAAAACCTGAGGGACCTGAGAACAGATGACATTTCTGATTTTATTTCATTTCTTTAGTCATTTGTACATATTTAATAGCTATTCGTTCTTCTAATGCTTACATCTGCAGTAGATTGTCCAGAGTATTTGAGCCCCCTCAGGCCTTGTGGTCTGAGGCCCTCTGAAGCCCCTGGCAGTCAGAGGCCCCTGGGCACTGGCCCAACTAGCCCAGTCAGTAATCCATCCCTGTTAAGCAGTTAAGGCTATGGAAAATGGGACAGGTCTTAAGATTGGTCTGATTGACTCTAGTTAGTTGCACCTCTGCCATGTAGTATGGCTTTTCTCCTATACTGGACACTGTACAGTATGCTACTATGAAGAGTATGCAGTATACAGTACACAGTATGCAATTTTAAACATAGCCATCATGGCGCAACCAATATTCACTGGGTTTTAAATGAGCTAAAAAAGCAGTAATATAACACCAACAAGCTGCATATACAATTACGCCATTCTGCCAGCTTAAATACAAAAATAAGTCTTTTCACATTTAATTTTTTTCAATCCTGTTAATTTTAACACAGTGGACCAATTTCACTACTGGCCAGTAGGGGGTACAGTGCATCCCCTTTACACTCCCCACAGGACTCCACCTACACCACTGCCCTGCACTTTTTTAGTTTTTTCCCTGCTCTGACGCAGTGTTTCAGCTCCAGGCCTGGAACCCAGCTTCTCTAACATACGTCAGTTATGTTAGCTAATTATAACAGCATGGCTCAGGAACCACAGAACCATACTGTAAAAAACGTGTTTAAAAAGTGATAAAAGGTCCAGCAGCAGTGATTCCAGAATTCTGCTATGCTTTGAAGACATTTTTTTTCGTTCATCAGGACAGACTTCATGTATGACATTGGACAGCAGAACAAACTGAGTGCCTTTCTTTGTTGGGATCTCTTTAAAAAACATCAGCAAGCTCCTCCACAGTGGGCTTGTGGTCCTCCTTTGGTGTTGTCTCTAATAGCACTAGTTTAATTAAGTCTAGGTCCAGGCATGCTTTTAGACCTAACAGTGTTGGGGCCTGAGTGTCAACTATGTAAAATTCCATGAGCATTTCATTCTCTATGTATTTAAATCTAAGTGAACATGTGCCTTTTACTTTAAGTTTTACTTTAAGCTGCAGTCCTCCATAATCAGTTAGGCAGTGAGGGGTAGGATTAAGTGTACTATTATACTTATTATACTTGTGGACAGGAATGACATTCACCTGCGCGCCTGAGCACAATACGGTCTCTGACCATTTCATCACTATTTGCATAAGCACAGTCCTTCCCAAGCAATTTTAGCTCAGTCACAAAATGCTCAAAAGTTTCGCTAGTGCCAGTCTAGAAGAAAGTAATCCGGCAAGCTGAGTTTTATCCATACCTGCGGTCTTGCAGCACACTTGTAATCATCAAGCCCACTGAGAAAAAGTTTCATTGCCATCTCCAGTGAAATCTGATGGCAAAACAGTTTTGAAATGTACAGTATGGGTTGTCACTGCATCCTCAGCCATGTTCAAAAATCCTGATATCAATCCACAAGGCTTATTTCTGAGTTGTATTGCTTTCTTCCAACAAAGTCTCTTGCCTTTATTACACTTATGGGGTCTGCAATTTTTTATTTTTTTTTGTCCAAGAATTGTTGAGGTAAGCGATGGTACATACTTTGTGCGGCTAAGCATGTAAAATCCTCATGTGCTCTTGCATATTGTTTTGTCCACAGAAACAAGAGTTCAAGTAGTCCATTGTGCAGTTCTCTAAATTGGCCACATGGTGTTGCTGTAAGACAAAATCATCTTCAAATAACTTACTGGCTTTCTGTCCTTAAACAGCTGTCTAGACAAATGTTAGTTAGGATTTATTTAATATTTGCGTAGGGCACTGTATATGTATATATACACAATACACACACACACACACACACATACATATATATATATATATATATATGTGTATATATATATATATTTTCATTCATCAAGGTACAAACAATGTAAATGTTCCCTCAAAGGTACAACAGTGGTTTTAAGGTCCACTTGCATGCCTTAAATAAATTTTTTCCAGGTGAAAAGTACATATTTGTACCTTTTCATAACCTGATGTGTTAAAACAGAGCAATAAAAATAAAAAGCCTGGAGATGAGACGGGGTGTGTGGACTCAATACAACTTACAAAATATAATTTCAATGGATTATGGGACAATTATGTTCCCTGACTAAAGGTACTGAGATGTACCCTTGAGGGAACTGCACCAGTGACAGATTTGTATTTTTATTTCTGAGACTGTATTTGCTTGTTTATTCTAATGATATATAGTGTTTTAGCAAGCAGAAATGTAATATAAGACAATTTTAGACATCATTTCATGTTTTTCTATTAGCATTTTGCTTTGTTTATCATTTGCATGTTATTAAAATAATGCTGTCTGTCGTGCTGTTCCATATTCTATTTTCTCTTTACCGTAAAGGTTGGTGTTTAACAAACAGCTGTCACACCCATCTACACACATGCTGAAGGCTCAGTAAGTGTGAGAAGATTTCATTTCCTTGAACGCAGCACTGAGTGAGGTAAGGGCTTTTAAGCTTTTTATAAGTTTATCAAACTCATCCCAGGCTTTAGTTTATTCAGTAATGCTGTTTATTACTGATAATATTATAATTACTCACAGTCAGACTAATTTGATTAAAAGTCAGTTTGTAGTGAAAAGACAATTTTAGTTCAAAAACCATAGTGTGTTCTTTAACTGAACCTTAGTTCTCCTTACACCTTTAATTGTGTATTAAATGTATTATTTCCTTTTTTTTAATGCATCATCTCAGGGCATCTGTTTGAAGTCTGGCAGTGGGGTTAGACATGAACTGAATGAAAAGTATAGTTTGTGTGTGAGAGAAAAATGAGAAGAGAAAAATGCTGAGAAAAATGCTGTTTAGGACAGATAAGAATATGTAGCCTCCATTAAACATGTTTTGTTTTTTTTTTGGTAGAAAATAGGAAAAAAACAGCTTGCACATGAAAAGTTTCTGCCACAGTGTTTAAACGTGTGTATAATCTGATGTCGATGGAAATTCACTACAGCGTGTTCACACTATTCCACTTTATTAAATATAATTGCTTTTGTTTTGTTTTCGTTACTGCAGATCTTTTTGCTTAAATAGCTGGTATTATATTTTCATGACTGAATAATAATAATAAAAATAATACACAAAAAAAAATGGCGGGTTAAAATTAAGTTGGGTCAATTTGGCAAATGTTGTGTGATGACAACTACTTTGAAGAGTAACAGCTATCTAGGCAGGGTTGAAAATGTAAAAATTAACTTTAGAATAAATAAATTTTGAATTCTGGGTCACTGTTTAAATCATTATCATCCATGCACAGGTGTACACACGCATACATGCTGTACTGACGATGGCATGTATGTTGAATTAAATTTTCTGCCAGTTAACAACAAAAAAAATAACAATTAATGTATTTAAACTATTTACATGTATTAATATCAGCATGTTCTTGTTAAAAGTGATATGGCACTCAAACTACAAAGACCGGCCACTTTATTACATACAGCTTCTTGAATCTACACTCTTTGTCCATTTTATCAGCTCTACTTACCACATAGGTACACTTGTTTTTTGCAACAATGTACAGCACACACTGCCCTGTCCCACTTTATTACCTTTGACCATGTCATTTATGAGCTTTTATGCTCTGTAATCTTTTTCTGTGAACAGAAGGTCACTGTGCAGTGTAACTTCCTGTTTTACTGTGCACATGAAAATAAAACTCTTGAATCTTGAACTTTGTAGCTCTACAATTACTGACCCATTCAGGCCTATCCATGGCTTTATAGCTTCTTTCATTTTTCTGTGTTTAAACAAAACAAAAATATGTCTGCCTGAGCAAATGTATTATAGAAAAGTTTTAAAGAGAGATTTTTAAAAAGTATTTAGTTTACTTAGTAGAAATGGCGGTCAGCTAAAGTAGGATATAAATCATTTTGTGGAATTGTTTCAGAGTCACTGTTCAAAACAACTGATTTGGACTTAAGACTAAAATGCTTTTGCTTTAAATGACTCTATATCTTAATTATTTTATTAAAACAAATGATTGAACATTCCATTTTGTCACAAACAAAACCATCATATCACTACTGACACTTCACCAAATGTTTTAGTAATTCTAACTACTTTTGAGCATAACTTTAGCCAGTATGATTCTGGGTAACTGTAGGTATTTGTATGAATCATCACTTTGTAAAAAGTTTGCCAATGTCATCTAGCTTGGAAGCTATAGTAACGGTATTTATGTAGCATGTCGTAGCAGCTGGAGAATGAGTACTTTTTGCTAATACTTTTACACTCTCAAGAGAAAATGCACACGATTCTGGATGATTGTAGATGTTTGTCTGAAGTATCATTTCATAAAGAGTTGGCCAAGTTAACATAAGCTAGATCTGATTTTGAGGTGTGCCTTGGATCACTGTCCTGCTGGAAGATGCAAACTATGGCCCCGTTAAAGGTTCCTGACTGAGCACCGGACAGCCGTCACCACGTTTATCCTCCTGATTTTATTTCTGCTGGTACTTGATGGAGTCTGTGATACAATGTGTCAGAATAGATTGTCCAGTGCCTTTGGAAGAAAACAGCCTAACACCACCATACTTCACAGTGGGGATGAGGTGCTTTTCTGTATGGTTATATTTGTGTCCACACCAAACTCACCTGTGGTTTTTTTGCCAAAAACCTCTATTCTGGTCATAGAGCATGGTCCCACTGAAAGTTCCAGTAACGTCTGGCAAACTGTAGGCACTTGAGTTAGTTCTTGACAGCAGAGGCTTTCTTCTGGTAAACCCCCAAACAACTCGTGGCTATATAAGTGGGGTTTGATTGTGGTTTGGGTGATGTTGTGACCAGCAGGGAAGATTGTTGAACAGTTTTAAATGTTTATGGGAGACAGTTTTAAATGGATATAGAATACTCTCACTGTTTTCTTTGGGAGGTCTTGGTTGTAACAGTGTGTAAACCAACCAAGCCATATGGAGGGTGTACTTTAGCCTACTTTAACCTTCAAAGCAGTGCAGTATGTTGCTGTGGAAATGAGATGATCAAAAGCATGTTCTACATAAAAAGCCCCTGTGACAGTTAGGCCGTGCCAAACCTTCCTGTACAGATAAAGTCAAGAATAAAAAAGAATGAGACAGCCACAGACGGTACTCTCCCTTTGTGGTGTTCCCCAAGTACAAGTATCTAAACTGGGGTTCTCAGTTTTTGTCTTTGTCCTCATTCCTTTTCAAAAGTCTCCAAAAGCAGCTCAAACAGGGCATAAACAGAGTTACAGAGATGTGAGCTACATGTGAAAGTTCTCATAATGTTTCAGCAGCTGAACGAGGTAGTGCAACTCTCTGTGCTTCTTTCACTTTTCTAAAACACAATGTAGCCCCTGTCATCATCTAACTTTTAACCTGTTAGCTACCTGAGCTCTCTGCTAAGCTGGTCAGTCGAAGACTAGTTGAAGAAAACCATACTTTTAAACAAGGTATCTTTTTGTCATGGTTTCTAACATTTTGCTTCATATACAGGCAGTTTGTGACTTCTATCAAAAGTGATTTAAAAATCACATAATACATTTATTATATATTACTTTATTATTTTTTTTATTCAAAACTACACATACTTTTTGGCTACTGTGGGTAATTTCTAAATAAAATGTAGAAATGTATGAAAAACAACTATTCATAATTTTGGTAATACAATATACCCAAAAACTAAAAAAAGAAGACCATACATTGAATACAACAGATCAATAGGTTGACATGAACACACATAACCTGTGTGATTTAGCCAGCCTACATACACAATTGCTGTGTCATCATTACAAATCAAAGCTATTATAATGCAGATGTAGATGGGCTCAGACACAAAACATTGGTCATTGGTGAGATTCAGTCAACAAAGATAATGTCAATAGTGCACATCTTAACTACATTCTTAACGACTCTCAGTCAGGCCTGTGGCCTTAAAGTTCCCTGTATAGTTACCTTTCACCCAGGTATACGGTTGTACGGAAAAATCCAGTTTATCCTCCGTTTGCAACTTCTGGGTGTGTCCCCCTGTACCCCTTCATGCGTCTGGCAGAAAACAGAGATCACTTGCAGCATCACATGTAGTGCAATCAGTTACACATATGTCAAGGTATGTAGCGTATTTTTTGGTTCAGATCGCTTCATCCTAACAGGAGATACAACAGAATATTCGGGGCCTCTTTTGAGTGAATCTCCCTGTATAAATGTACAAGTTTATTTAAAATAAAGTTACAAGTTTTCCCACAAAAAAACTGTTAGGATTCTGAAAATGCATCAGTATCTATTCAAGCAAAAAGATAAAGACAAAATCTATACAAAGTTTACGAAGTATACAAACTTTAATGTGTGCTTTTATTTTCAAATTTAAACTTGTTTGGTGGTGTTTGGATCTGTAGCCTCATTACCTAGGCTAATGCTAACAGGCTCCTCTACTCTAGCTAGCTTATCTAGTGGTTTACAGCTCCAAACACCACAGTACAGGTTTTATTCTGTATAACTAATGCTCTGCTTCAACAAGATAAACAATAAATACTCATGTCTGAGAAAGCAAAGCTGAATGACTGGTGTTGGAGTGTCAGAAACCCATAACTGAACATCTTCTGTAGTGTTCTGACCTGTAGCGTGCTGGGCTAGGCTAACTCTATTTTAATGTTGGTTAGCAGGCTAAAGGTTAGACCCGCAGCAGTACAGGCTCAGTTCCAGCTGATAAATGCTCAAATAACTCCCGCTTAGAGGTTAAAGATTCCAAAAGCACAAAATCGAGTGACTGGTGTTGGATTGACATCAAAATTCGAACATGTTCTGTAGCATTTAGCCTGTCATTACTGAGCCATTCTTGTGTGGAGCTTTCTTCAGTATTTCTGTGGCTCTGATTTAGCAGCACAGCAGGTGGAAAAAAAATTGAAAATGGTCTCATGAGTCCACACAAGCACAGAACAGCACATGTCACTGGGAGCCAGTGGCTCTGGCTCTACAGTGGAATAGAGGCCTGAATGTTTATTGAGCTGAATTTTTTAGGATAAAGAATTTTGTTTTGTTTACTGTGAGTGCTGCCACTGTATTAAGGCTAATCAAATCATTACACTCCCCCTAAGCTCCTCCTTTCTCAGCCCTCCGGTCACTGCTTAGCAGCCATTGCTATCCACCAGTGCCTCAATTCAGTTTGTCATCAGCATGCCGGTGTTTGAATTCGAAGCTCTAGTTGTGGTTAAAAGATGTAGCATGAGAAGTTTCAAAGTGAGGCTTTGTCATTTCCTTCTATCCAAAGCCAAAAACTGCTATGGCAATTTATATTCTTTTCGCTATAAAGCTTAGTCAGGAAAACCGACTCAACTTGAGGCTCAAGGAGAGCAGGACTCAATCAAGACACACAAATCAAATCATCAAATCAAATTTATTTGTATAGCGCTTTTTACAACTGATGTTGTCACAAAGCAGCTTCACAGAAATCCATTAAAGACAAAGTTTTAACATGAAATGTAAATCCTC